AGGAACACTCAACCTAACAAGAACAAGTCACAATAGTGCTAGATCCTCGGATACATGGAACGATTCACGGTACATGATCAACTAGGGATGATACACGGTAACCGGTCTTCTCCGTGAGGAGGTCTTGAATCCACGGGGGGATCTTCCCTTAGAAAGGGGTCTTGAATCCAAGGTGGATCTTCTTCGAAGAGGGGTCGCGGTCTCTCTCAAGGAGTAGATCCGATATGGATGAGCGAAGCTCTATCTCACAAATGAGCTAACACAACGCTAACCCTAGAAAGTTGTACGGGGCGGAGTATTTATAGTCTTAGTGCAAAAGAGGGGTGAAGGGGTACAGGGGCTGCGGCCCAACTCGAAACGGTGCTCAGGCGTCGGACGTCCAGGGGTCACCGGTCGTCGGAGGCTCGCGAGGGTCCGGACGTCCGGTGTCTGTCAGACGTCCGTAGATTCTTCTCGGGTGGTCTTCGGTCGGGGTTGGTCGTCCGAGTGGCGTCGGACGTTCGTCTGTTTTGGCTCGGGTGTGGCAGTGTCGGTCATCCGGAGGGGCCCGGACGTCCGGAGCCTGGAAGTCGTCGGACATCCGGTGCTCGTCGGTTGTTCGGAGCCTGGAGACTTTGTTCTCCTCTTCTTCTTCGTCTCCGTCTTCCTGTCCATCTTCCCCTTCCTCTTCTCCTTGCTCCTTAGCTTCTCCATGATACCTGAGAATGCACAAAGTGTCCGTATGAGGTAGTAGTCGTGTCTCATGTGTATCAAAGTGGAAATGTGAGAGGAGAGATGTCACCTCGGTTTCAAGAGCTCTTGCGCGTGCTTGTGTCATGGGTCCAAGGGGTGTCGAAGGAGATGTAGTTGGGTCCATGGGGCTGGCCTTGGGATGCTCCGCATCAAGTAGTAAAGACAAAATCATAACGCTCATATGGATGTGCAACATGCATCTTTTTTGATCCATCATGATGAATCGTTGTTGTTTTTGTTCATGCATGACATGGCTTGCAGCTCCAGTACTGCACCTAGTTCATGAAAATATACCACTGTGTAACTTATATGTAAATAGAGCTGTAATGTATAGACTACGGAGCTGATAAATCACATACAAACATCATGATAATCTTTTGCACAGGAAAAAAGTTGTTCAACAAATTGCCCTTGTAACTTGTATGTAAATACCTTGATAATATGCACACTACCAATATGATAACTTGCACAGAAAAAATGTCAAAAATATACCCCCAGTAGCTTATGTGTAAATGGCATGGTAATGTACAAATTGTACACGTGGTAACTTACTTAGCCTACGCGTGATAACTATTGGCCCTAAAAAAGTTGTTTAAAAACAAACACCCCACCCCAGTAAATTTTGTGTTAATACCTTTGATAATATGCACACCACAGATATGATAACTTGCACATGAACACCTTGGTAACCTTTTGACCCAGAGGGGAAAATATATTGAAAATATAAACCACTAACTTTCGTTTAAATAGCATGAAAATATACACACTGTAGGCGTGGTAACTTACTTAGCGTAGGCGTGCTAACTTTTGGCCCAGGAAAAAAGTTGTTTAAAAACATACGCCCGGTAACTTCTATGTAAACACGTTGATAATATGAACACCACATATACGATAACTTGCATACGAACACCTTGATAACTTTTTAACCCCAGAGGGAAAAATGTTTGAAAACAAACCCTGGTAACTTATGTGTAAATTGCATGGTAATACATGCACCGCAGACTCGATAACTCACGGACAAACACATAGTTGAAAACATACCATGTAACTTATGTGAAAATAGCACGGTAATATACATACTGCATAAAACATCATGGTAATTTTGATCAAAGGGAAAAGGTTAATGAAGAAAATACCTAGGGGTAACTTATATAAAAATAGTATGGTAATATAGGAACTGCATACATGATAACTTACGAACAAACACTTACGAACCGTATACCCAATAAGTTACATACAAACACGGCGGTAGCTTTGACAAAAGCTTTTGGAAAATATACCCCGGGCAACTTATGTGAAATAGGATGGTAATATACAAACCGCATATCCAATAACTTATGTACAAACACTGTGGTAATTTTGAAGGAGAGAAAAAAGTTGTTGTAAAATATAAAAAGGGTGTAAAAAGAGACACAATAATATACAAAACACACACTCGATAACTTAGGTACAAACACCATGGTAACTTTTTTGATCGAAAGAAAAAGTTGTTGAATAATATAACCTCCCTAACTTATGTGAAAATATCACGTTAATATACAAATCCATACATGATAACTTAGTACAAACACTGCGGTAACTTTTTACACCAGGAGAAAAATGTTATTGAAAACATACCTCGATAACTTATGTGAAAATAACACGGTAATAGACGAACCGCATGCCCGATAACTTACGTATAAACACCACGGTAATTTTGACCAAAGGGAAATAAAGTTGTTGAAAACATACTCCCTTTTTTGCAGTAACTTATGTGAAAATGGCACAGTAATATGTGAACCGCATACCCGACAACTTACTAGAAACACCATGGTAACTTTTTTGACCGGGAAAAAAGGTTGTTGAAAATATACCCTGATAACTTATATGAAAATAGCACGGTAATATATGAACCGCGTACCTGATAACTTATGTACAAATATCACGGTAACTTTTGACAAGAAGGAAAAGATGTTGAAAAATATCCCCCAATAACTTATGTGAAAATAGCATGATAATGTACAAATCACATACCTGATAACTTAAATACAAACACTGCAGTAACTTTTGACCAAGGGGGAAAAGTTGTTGAAAAATATATCCCGATAACTTATGTGGAAAATGCACAATAACTGGCATACCACATGCGTGGTAACTTATGTAGCTGAGGCATGGTAAATTTTGACCCCAAAAAAGTGATCGAAACATATCAATATAGGATCAAATTTTGAAGATCTCGTTGCAACGAATCTTTTATGTGATAAGGTTTTTGCATCGGACCGATGATTTGAGGTACAAAACATTTTGAAATTTTTGGAATAAGAAGAATCTAAGATGACATCATCTTTTTTGTTCTTTAGTGCATACATGTGCACGTGGAGAAGGTGGAAGAACCATGTTTATGCCCCCGATAATTTATGTGAAAATAGCATGGTAAATTGCATACCACAGGCATGGTAACTTATATAGCCAAGGCGTGGTAACTTTTGACCCGGGGAAAAAGTCATGGAACATACCAACTTAGGATCTAGTTTTGAAGATCTCGTTGCAACGAATTTTTTATGTGAAAACAGTTTTTGCATCGGACCGACGGTTTGAGCTAGAAATGCACGTGAAAGAAGAATGGTTCATCCTAATGCAATTATGCATGTAATTAAAAGAGAAGAAAAAAGATGTGTAGTAGTTTTAGCTATGTGGCACACATGTATCAAATATCACAGTCCATAAGTTACTGATGATCGCAAAAAGATACATCATATTCCTCTATTTAAAGGAGGAGTTGGCCTTCTCCCAATCCATCCCAAATATCATCACGTCAGTTTTTTCTCTTCTCTCTCCTCCCATGCGTCGCTGGATTAACGCTCCCACCACATCGAACCGTCGTCCGGCCACGCCGCACGACCGTCCGCTGCCATTGGGCCACTGCGCCGCCCGCCACCGCCCGCACATCAACTCTGCCGCCGGGCACCACTGCTGCCTGCCACCCTTGCCACACCGCGCCGCCGCCCACAACCGCCAGTTGCCGCGCCCGACGTCACCACGATACAACAACGCCGGCCGCCAGGCGCAGCAACACCCAATGTCATGCCGCACCCGCACGTCACCGCCGTCGTCGCCGCGCCGCCATTGCCATCAATAGTGTGTGTTCCCTAGTGTGAGGTTGACAAGTGGGTCCCGTATCAGTTTGCTTTATTGGGGTGGGTTATTGGGGATCTTCTGGAGCGTTCAATCTCAATAACCAGAAAAGTCTTATTAGGGATGTTAGGGGAGTTTCTTGTGAGCCGTTGGAGATGCTCTAAGGGGTATCCAAATGTCACTTTGATTGCTATATATTATCGAAATCACTAGTTAAATGGGTACCACTTACTAAGGTCACTCTCATCTTCTTTAGTTGTGACAAGCAACATATTGTATGTCCGGCACTCAAGGTTAACATTGATGCTTAGTTTGATGAGTGAAGAGTGACATGCATGCTAGGTAATGAAGCAGCGATCTTCAATAATTGCTACTTCATGTCTAGAAGTTTATGAAAGTTTTCTTCAAACATGAGAACCGAGAGGCAAACACGATTGCCCATGAACTTGCCAAGCTTGCTAGGTATAATAATTCTAGCACATGGATAGATGCCCTCCTCCCTCAATTGTATCTCTTTTAGTCAATGATGTAACCTTATCTTCTACTCCCTCCGTCTCAAAATTCTTGTCTTAGATTTGTCTAAATATGGATATATCAAATCATGTTTTAATCCATATCTAGATAATAAATCAACGACAAGAATTTTGAGACGGAGGGAGTAATAAACAAAGAGATACCTTGATTGTCAAGAAAAAAAAACTGGCGTTGCTTTTATCCTTCCCGCTGCTCATACGCTATTGACCCAAATGCTACGACAATGAAAAGGAGAGCACAGTTACATCTCTGGAACGAACATACCTGATGGCATAGCACGTCAACAAGAATGGTATTCTGATTCCATTTACAGTACTGTTCAAGCTCTTTATCTTAAAGTTCACAATGTGCAACTGCACATAGCCAACAAGTTTATGAAAACACCAAAGGGGTTGAGATCACACGTGAATCTAAATTCACTGATTACAGGGAAGGAGCGCCTGGAAAGTCCTATGCCCAAGCTGTGAAATTTCCATTCACCTTGAGGCCTCACTCAGGGGAGAATATGTGTGTGCTTCCTCATGGCATGGTCCACAATTCCAGGTGATGTTTCTTTCTTTCCAAGAAGAATGAGGATCTTATTTTCCGAGTTGACTGCTCGTATGTATGCTCGACGTGCCTTAGGGACGCTTGGATCTTTCGTATATCTCCTTATGAAGTAAGAAGACATCCCCTTGATCGCTGTTGAACGCACGTAGCTCGGAGCTGCATACCGTGAGCTGCCTCAGTAACTTCTCCAGACACGAGTAAAGGCAGCTCTCTGGATCCTTCATTTTGGGGTTCGTGGACAGGATGGCAGCATTCACCGCGTCCGCTACAAATTCACGCTGTGGGGACTCCAGCAAATATCCAATGCAAGATTCTGAAGGCTTCTCATACGCAAGCAGGGCCACACTCTCCTGCAACAGAAAAATACTCCTTAAATCAACAATACAAAATATATAGCTCAACACAGTTGAAGATTCAAAGCAACGTGCTATTGCCAAGGAGGCAAAAGTCCATGGAATTACTTACCTTCAGCAACCCCTCAAAAGCTTTGTGTGCCAAAAAGTTGGCCAGGTTAGCACGGGCATATTTTACAGCACCCTCCAGTTGCTCAGCCTAGTGCATGAGAAAAACTTACAATCAACTTTGAAACAAATATATAATAAATACTCCCTCTGTAAATTAATATAAGAGCATTTAGAACACTAAAGTAGTGATCTAAATGCTCTTATATTAGTTTACAGAGGGAGTATTAATTGCTCATACGCCCGGTACAAAATGTTTGCGTGCAAACCTAACCACGACTGAATTCAGAATATTCAGATAGTTACCCTGATGTATTCAATGAATCTCTGAGAATGAAGCAAGAAGCAAATAACTGATATTTCGTCCTGCGATAAAAATTATTTCTTTTTTAGAGTGGAAACCTTTTCCAGGATACTGATTATGGAAAACTGAAAATAGCGTGCGAAGGAACAAACCATATATCCACAATAATTCATTGGTCAGTGCACATATATAATTTTGGTCGCAGCACGAAAAAAATTGAGCAACCACAATAGCAAAGTGTGGAAAATGACAGTACAGTATACCTTTAAGACCTGTGGATACCACTCTTCAAGCCTTTTGAATGCAGAATCGATATCCCCATTCATGATGAGCTTCATAAAATCAAATAAAGTGTTTTTAGAAGGCAGGAACCACACCAGAAACTAAAAAAGGGTTTCCATACAACACTCCCCCTCAAGAGGGATGATAGATATATATCATTCCCATCTTGTCACACGCTAAGCTACATTCTCTGGTTCCCAGTCCTTTAGTCAAGCAATCTGCAATTTGTTGCCCTGAATCTACATACTCTATCTTGATATGTCACGACCTAGGTTACGGAGGGGGTAGTTGTGGGTGGTAGGAGGGCCAGGGCGAGGGAGCTTAAGCTTGGGCGCCGCGATGGCTGGGGGATAGATTGGTTCCGGAGGTAGACCTCCCCTTTTCTCTGTTTATTTCTTTGCCCTACTACACGGTGACTGCCTTTGCTTTATAGCACAGCTGGCGACTAAGAGGGAGACACACAAGGAATGACCCGCACAGAATCCAAACAACCAAACTAACAAGACTTGAAGAACAAGAAAACACTAATCTGAGGATTTATCTCCTGAAGGTGGTTCGGCTGGACCTGTGGTGGCGGCGGTAATGCCTGCCCCACATGACATCACTCCCCCCCTTCGACAAGCAGCTCGTCCTTGAGCTTGAAAGTGGGATATCTGCACTTGAATTCTGCCATGTCTTCCTGGGAAGCTTCAGAAGCAGCTGCTCCTTCCCAACGGACTAGGAGCTGATGAATACCTCAGGCCGGCCGGACTTTGAAGACTTGAAGAGGTGGTGGAATGACCCTTCCATGATGTATTGCTGGCAGCGGAGGAGGTGCAGCTAGTGGTTCGCCATGGTAGACATGAACACGTTGTGTAGACGATAGACTAGACTGGGAGGAGCTGGCTAACATGAAACACGTTGTGTAGACGGGACCGGGAGGGGGAGGGGAGGGGGGCAGCTGCAAGTTGTAAGCCACTGAACCCACTCTCACTGTGATTTTGTAAGGATCATAGTAACGTGCCGCTAACTTGCCAGAGCTAGAGCCAGTCAAAGATGCCACTGGACGGTGCTGTAGGCAGAGCCAGACCCATAGTAACGTGCCGCTAACTTACCAGAGCTAGAGCCAGTCAAGATGCCACTGGACGGTGCTGTAGGCAGAGTCAGACCCACTAATCAACATTGAAGGAGACTTCACGGTGCTTGGCATCATAATATTTCTTGTCACTTTGTTGGGCCTGGAGAAGACGGTCCCGGACATCAGCAATAAACTCATCTCAATCTTGGGAGTAAGGAACTGTTTGTATGTGGGCTGCCCCAGTATAATAGGACCTTAGAGCTGGAGGATCACAGCCAAAAACAACCTTGAATGGAGTGGTCTTGAGGGCGGTATGAAAGGATGTATTGTAGCAGAATTCTACCCAAGGTAGCCACTGGAGCCAAGTGCGTGGACGATCGCCGGTCGTACATCGCAAATACATGGCAATTACACAATTGACAAACTAAGTTTGGTTGTCAGACTGCGGATGGAAGGCAGAGCTCATGTGGAGCTGAACCCTGGAGAGGCAGAAGAGTTCTGACCAGAACTGACTTGTAATTTGTAAACACAGGGTCTCGATCAGATACTATCGTCTCTGGTAGGCCGTGAAGCTGTATGATGTCGGTGAAGAAAGCATGGACGACTGTTGCTGCCGAGTAGGGGTGACCAAGCGGAATGAAGCGTGCCATCTTGGAGAATCGATCCACCACTGAAAGAAAGACTGATTTGTCGTGCACCTGTGGAAGGCCCTTCACAAAAATCATAGAAATATCTGCCCAGATCTGAGAGGGGACTGGTAGGGATTGCAGGAGGCTGCCGGAGTGCATATGCTCAGACTTATTACGTTAGCAGATTGGGCAAGCACGCGCAAAGTCATCCACAACACATCAAGCATTTGGCACATGGAAGTCCCGACATAGGCGGTGCAACGTCTTTTGAATCCCCTCATGGCCCGTGTCATGTGCTAAGCCAATATAACACCCCCGATAATTAAGCTACAGTAATCCCCTGTTAATGGTGTCATATCATCACATTACTGTTGCTAATCCTCATTTGGTCCAAGGCAGAATTCAAATTCAAATCCAAAATTAAATTTGTCAAACATGCAAACTAAAATGTTCAAGGTGTGGCAAATAATCCTTGGATATTTATCATGTTGAAACCCATATTTTATATAAAGTATCTAAATGCCCAAAAATAAATAAAACAATGGCTAAAACATTTATTTAAATGCTATTTAATTTATAAAATATTAAACTATTTTATTTTCGGGCCTAATTGTGGCAGTGGCATAATTAATAATACTAATTTAGGGGCTAGTACTATATTTTACAAAAATTAGAATAAAATGAAACTAAAAGAAAACAGAAATTAGAAGAAACGGAAAAGAATAAAAACAAAAGGAAAAACCCCACTCACTGCCCTGGGCCTTAGGCCACAGTGGCAGGCCCAGCAGCCCAGCCCACTTCCCCCCTCGCGGTCGTCTTCTTCTTGTTCGACCGACCGAGGGCGCACGGCCCTCGCCGTCCCTGCCGAACCGCCTCG